CGGAACCGGGGATTGAACTCAGGCCCTTGCTCTTGCCAGCGAAGTGCTTATTCCACTGAGCAATCTCCCTGGTCCCTTGTTTTTTAATTTTATTAATTAATTTATCCTGCCTCAGGTTTATTTGTACAAAGAGCACAGGAAGAGGCCAGACCCCCACAGATGGCACCCCAGGGGTCACATAAGTCTCGTTTTTATATCAGCACATAAGAGGCTTTTATTATGGAGACTTTACAGGGCCCTGGGAGCCTTTGATGTCCTGGGCACCTTTGGGAGCCTGGGCTGGAGCAGAAGCTGGAGCCTGGGCCTTGGCTAGAGCAGAAGCTCGAGCCTGGACCTTGGCTGGAGCCTGGGCCTTTGGCCGGCAAGGCCTGAGACCTCTAGCAATGCGGACACGGATATGCTTCCCAAGCTTAGGGTGGGCAATATAGGCAAGTTGAGTAAGTCTGTGGTTTACTCCCTTTGGAATGATCTTGGGCTTGACTTCCTGGGGCTTGACAAGGGTCTTGATAGCCTCAGTGCATCATTCACAGCCTTGGTATTGTTTGCCTGCATCTTCTTGAGGCATCTCTTGTTTTGCTAAGTTCATCTGTGTTAACATGCTTGGTTTAGGAGTCACTGAGAGGAGTAGTATAGTGACTCCTGGAGTGTCTGCATGAGCAGTGGAAGAGCGGCCTTTGTCCCTGTCCCTTTTGTCCCTGGTACTGTTTGCTTGCTCTGAATTAAGCATTGCTGCTGTGCCACAGCCTTGCCTTTCACCATGTTGTCTCTGTCTTTGGAGTCATCTAATCAGAGACTGACTTTCTTGAAGCCTTGAGTCAAACATAACCTTTCCTGTGTTAGCACATGTTGTGTCCCAGCAACAAGAAAGTGATGATTACAGTCGTCTGTCCTAACAGTGACACCTGCACAGGAGCCTCAGGCAGTTGGGAAGATTCCAGAAGAGACATCATCAGCACAAGGAATGACAGCTCTGCGTCTGTTGTTGCCTTGAGACTTTCCAGTGGACTAGATGTGGAGGTAGAAGACAGAGCTATTAATAATCTTAACCATGGGTGGGCCTGAATATAGTGTGTATATTTCTGTTAAGAGTTTTAAACCCAAACCATTTAAGTAACAAAAAAGTTCTTAAATTTAAAAAAGCATACAGAATAAAAACTCATTTTAAAAAATGAGTTGGGGTGTAGTTAAGCAGTACTGTGCTTGCCTAGCATGTGTGAGGCTCTGGGTTCAGTCACCAGCACCCCACAAGTAAATGGATGAAAAGAAAGGAAGTATTTTTATAGCTGTACAATGTATATGTATTGTAAACTAAATCCTTCTACAAAAGACTCAAAACTTTAATCAGTTAAGCTTATAGAAAATGAAATTAAGCTACTAGAAAGTAGGCTAAAGCTAACTTACTATTTTTTTGTTTTTGCGGAACCAGGGATTGAACTCAGGCCCTTGCGCTTGCCAGGGAAGCACTTATTCCACTGAGCCATCTCCCCAGCCCTGCTAACTTACTATTGAAGAAAGTACAGTGTATCATGTATAAATTGAATGTCCTATGAGTGGGCAGTGTTTCTAAGTGCAGAAAGGGGAGCAGCGATTCCCTTGGGCCTCACACTCACTCTCTGACTCACCCAGAGCAACTCCAGTCCTGGCAAGTGACTGTGAACTTGTACCTTCTGTTATCTTTTAAACTATAAGTCTGCAGCCCCTTCTCTTTATCCAGAGGTCCTCAGATTCACACTTACCAGGTGGCTGGACTCCCCCAGTAACATGTGGTATACATTTGTAGTCTCACCTGTAGCCTGCATGTGTAGTAACTTGTGTGATTGTGTATGTATACTCTGTGATCTTCACTTAACTAAGACATCTAACGACAGATTTCTCCAACATATCCATCATTTAAGTGACACAATTGCATATCTAAGGTGGTTAAGACAAATTTGATCAAGGAAGGAGATTGAAAGGTCACAGGGAAGTGACTGAGAATGTGGGTCCTGGATTCAGTCAGGTCCAGGCTGAAGTCCCAGAATCTGAAGAACATGACTGCACTTAGATATCTGTTGCTGTGTCACAGTTTCCACAGTCTTAGTGCCTTAAAACGACTCACATTCATCATCTCACAGTGGCTGGGGCCAGGAGTCTGGCCCTGGCATCCGAGGGTCCTCTGTTTTAGGTTTCTGGTGTTGGGTGGGGCTTAAACTCCTGGGAATGCTCTCCAGGAAGGAGCCACTCTCAAGCTCTTTCCATGGCTGTTGGCAGGACTCCATTGTCCAGAGCTGCTGACTGAGTGCCTGTTTCCTGCTGCTGTGTGAGTGATGTCTGTCCTCAGTTCTTTGCCATGTGGTTACCCAAACATGGCCACTTATCTCCAGTAAGGTAGACATGAACAACTTCTTAGGAGATAGCCATTGGATGGTGTTCTGTCATCTGTATCAAATTCTACAAGATAAAAGCAAGACATCAAACAAGCCCACACTCAAGCCATGGGCTGGCACCATCCCTCACCTTGGGCTCTGTTGTAAGAAGAACCCATTGGTATAGGCCCGGGAAACTGCTGAGTCCTGTGTTATAGCCCCATCTGGGGCCTTCACAGCAGGATGGGTGCTTCAAGGGCAGTGTTCAGAAGTGTGGGCCTGAGGAATGTCCCCTCAAAGCCAGCCCTTCACTTCATCCACAGGAACCTGCCAACTCCGTTCCTCCCTTATTTGTGTCTCTAACATGTCTGCTTGCCCCAGGAGAGTGCAGTCCAGAGCCCACTGAAGCCACACCTTCTCCTTGTAACCTCTGGGAGCCATCCGCCAATTTCTGCTCACTCCACACAGTGAAGTTGCCTTTCTCTCATGCAGGTCTGGGCTCTGTTTTTACCTATCAGTCTCAATTGTGTTCAGATTTGCTTATTCTTTGCTCTTGTTTCTAAAATTATTTTTAAATTAACAAATATTTGTATAAGGAACCTTAGCATTTATTACAATAGTGCAAACTTCTCAGGCAAACATTATTTACATTGTTTTTTGATTTATAAACTTTTAAAATTATAATGGTAATTTTCTTTATTTTTGAAATATGGTAAACAGAATGGGCCAGGGAGATAGCTCAGTGGTATAAGCACCTTCCTGGCAAGCGCAAGGTCCTGAGTTTGATCCCTGGTACCACAAAAACACTGAAACAAAACAAAGAACCCCCAAAATAAAATATGGTAAGTGGAGAAAATAAAGGAAAAGTTTTAAAATCTTATGATGCAGAAATAAAGCAAAATGAATGTTCTTCTAATAATTTTCCCATACATAATTGATATTTGCCAACATTATTTAATTTTCATTTTATTCCTTGTTCATTGTCCCGCTGAATATTATATTGGGAAGTCATTCTTTTCTACATCGCTGAACACTTTTTTAAAATGATGTTGAGCCACTCAGCACGGCGAGAGGGGCGGGGAAGCCAGGGTGGCACTGCCCTTGGTCCCAGCTCCCGGCCCACACCGCAGCTCTGGTCTCCGCTCCCCATGAGGGTATGTATTTCGGGAGGGCGGGGCACAGATGAGTGGCCTAGCGGAGGGAGCCGTAGCCAGGGGGAGGGAGGTTCACGGGTGCAAGTATCACACTCCTCGTTTCACAAAGCTTGGCCACCCAAGCACTATACATGTTAATATCCTCAGACACAGGTGGTCCAAAGCTGGGCAAGAACACCTGCTGCAGGTCTGGAAGAAGCTGGAAGAAGCCCACCAGGAAGAACTTTATGCGGAGCTTCAGGCCATGAACTTTGAGGAGCTGAATTTCTTTTCCCGAAAGGCCATTGAAGGATTTAATCAGTCTTCTCAGCAAGAGAAAGTAGATGCACGAATGAAACCCGTCCCTCAAGAGGTGCTGGGCAGTGCCACGAGGGATCAAGATCAGCTGCAGGCCTGAGGAAGTGAAGGACTTTTCCAAATTTCTCAGAACAAAGTAGCAGTGGGCCTGGGAGATGGCTCAGTAGAATAAGCACTTGCCTGGCAAGCACAAGGGCCTGAGTTCAATCCCTGGTTCCGCCAAAAATCAAAGTAGCAGTTCTCCTACTAGCTGGTGGGCAAGGAACAAGACTTGGAGTTGCGTATCCCAAGGGGATGTGTGATGTTGGCTTACCATCCCATAAGACACTTTTTCAGATTCAGGCAGAATGTATGCTGAAGCTACAACTGTTAGCTGAAAAATATTATGGCAACAAACACATCATTCCATGGTATATAATGACCAGTAGCAGAACAATGGAAGCAACACAGGCGTTCTTCACAAAGCACAAATACTTTGGTTTAAAAAAAGAGAATTAATTTCTTTTCAGCCAGGAATGCTACCTGCTATGAGTTTTGATGGGAAAATTATTTTGGAAGAGGACAACAAAGTTTCTATAGTCCCAGATGGAAATGGGGGTCTTTATCGGGCTCTTGCAGCTCAGAATAATGTGGAGGATATGGAAAAAAGAAGCATTTGGTGCATTCATGTCTATTGTGTGGACAATATATTGGTCAAAGTGGCAGATTCACGGTTTATTGGATTTTGCATTCAGAAAGGAGCAGACTGTGGAGTGAAGGTGGTAGAGAAGACAAAGCCTACAGAACCAGTTGGAGTGGTTTGCTGAGTGGATGGAGTGTACCAGGTGGTAGAATACAATGAAATTTCCCTGGCAACAGCTCAGAAACGAAGCTCTGATGGACGACTGTTGTTCAATGCGGGCAACATTGCTAATCATTTCTTCACTGTACCATTTCTGAGAGATGTTGTCAATGTTTATGAACCTCAGCTGCAGCACCATGTGGCTCAAAAGAAGATTCCATATATGAATTCCCAGGGAGAGTTAATTAAGCCAGACAAGCCAAACGGAATAAAGATGGAAAAATTTGTTTTTGACATCTTCCAGTTTGCAAAGAAGTTTGTGGTATATGAAGTATTACGGGAGGATGAGTTTTCCCCGCTAAAGAAAGCAGACAGTCAGAATGGGAAGGACAACCCTACAACTGCAAGGCATGCTTTGATGTCCCTTCACTATTGCTGGGTGCTCAATGCCAGGGGCCACTACATAGATTAAAATGGTTCTCGCCTTCCAGCAATTCCCCACTTGAAGGATGCCAATGATGTACCAATCCAGTGTGAAATCTATCCTCTTATCTCTTATGCTGGAGAAGGGCTAGAAAGTTATGTGGCAGATAAAGAATTCCATGCACCTTTAATCATTGATGAGAATGGAGTCCATGAGCTGGTGAAAAATGGCATATGAGTCATGTGCCAAGTTCTGCCACAACAGGGGATAGCTTTTTGTTTTTAACAGCCCAACTGTAGTAAACCTACAAGATACGTCCTGGAAGACTGAAGTTGGAACCTTCACAAGGTTTCATTTTGCTCGTTGAACTCTTAGAACTATGACAAACTTCCCAAGATCCAGATAACTGAACTTTAGATAGCATTTTTATGATTCTCAATTCATTGAAGGTCTTATTTATATTTTTCAATTTGTCTGATTTATTTCCTAGTCAAGGAATACATTGGCCATCTAGGAAATTTCTCATAGATCAAGTATAGCCAGGATGTTCAACATCGCTTTACTTTGACTGGAAGCTTTTGTTTTTGAAATTATACATAGTAATTATATGTCATTGTATAGGTCAGAAGGTTTGTGTGGTGTGTGTGTGTGTGTGTGTGTGTGTGTGGCCAGCTCAGCCTACCAGGGGGCAGGGCTGGTTGGCATGTGGTGCTGGGGGATTGAACCGTGGTCCCTGTGCTTTGCTAAGCTTGTTCTAAGTAGGTGCTTTAGACCACTGAACCATCTCACCAGCCCTGTCAGAAGGTTTTTATGGTACTAAAAGTTTGTTTTATTTTATCAAGCATTAAACTTTTTAAAGAAAAAAAAAAACAAGATAAAATGATATGTTTAGGGCCAGCCAGATAGCTCAGCTGATTAAGCATCTGCTTAGACAGAGTGCAGCAGCTAGGGTTCGATCCCCTGCATGCTATGCCAGCCCCTCTCTTGGGGCTGAGATTGAACTGAGACTAGGCATGGTAGCATGCACCTGTAATCCCAGATCTTGGGAGGCTGAACACTGGCAGATCACTAAGAGTCCGATCTGTGTAGTGAGACCCTGTAGACCTTGTACAAACACAAATAAATAAAAAAATAAAAATGATGTGTCTATAGAATATCTATTTTCTACCTAAATATTTACTACTACATATATCTATTTACTGCTTTAATCTATTTCCTACCTACTTCAATTGACATTTTATTTCAATTTTTCATTTTTAGAATAGTGTTATATGGGCTGGTGACCCCTTGGGCTACCCCCCACCACTCCGCAGTGCCTCCCCCACCCCGCCCACCGAGTAGGATTTTCTGCCGAGTTCTGGGAGGCCCCAGACCCAGTCCTAGCCCAGGTCTGGTGAGTGTGCGGAGAGCTTCCTCTTCCTCCAACTTCACCTTGCCCCCTCCAGGCACAGCTCAGGCCTGGCATACATGCCTGAGGTGTAATCCTGTAGCTGCAACCTCTGCAGGGGAGAGTGTAGAGAATAGATCCAACCAGCTAGTCCAGGAGCAGAACATCTC